TTTCTGAAAGCCATTCTCTTAGTGCTTGGTAATTTTACAGTTACCCTTCTGGTTAAGGCATGAGATGGAAGCCTGAAGGTCTGGTTTCTATTCCTTTCTGTCACAAACTTACGTCAGTTACAACTTGGTATGCCTCAGTTACCTATCTGTGTTCATGTAAGAATTCATTCCATACTATTTTAAAGCCCGTTGATTTAATTTTTGTTAGATCTTATGACTGTGAATGTAATGCAGTGCAAAGTATTATTATGAATCAGTGATACCTTTGTATTTATTGATATGAAGCATCTTTTTGCACATATATCTATCCTGTCAGCAGAGCTGTCCCTTGTGGGGGCGCGAATCAGGGTGAACTCCCCGGGCCCTGCGCTTTGTGGGGCCAAGCGAACAGTGTCGTAAATGTCCAGTGGACAGCGCTATTGGCATGTGCTGAGGGCGCCACAACTCCAGTTGTTTGCTGCATGCCTCTGGCTTCGTGCTGTGGCTGCTTGCCCCCCTTTTCCCTCCTACACAGGCCCCCGCACATCCCTGTAGTCAGCTCTGCTTGTCACTCTTGGATTCAATATATAACTGCTCACAATTGGGTATAGTGTTACATTACTGATGGTCTTTAAAGTCTTCTTTTTTTTCTTTATGAATCCAGATGTGGATTTTAATTTTTCATTCATCAAAGATTTAATGTAGTGATAGGCCATATTGTTGCTGTTGCTTGCAAGGGCCTTTTCGCGTTTCACTGATTTCAGTGATATATAGTAATAAGGTAGATTCACATCAGTGATGAACCAAATAACATAATCCAACTTCTGTAATGTAGAAATTAAGTGAATCCTGATCACTTTCCACAGTTGGCATATACTCTTCAATCATAAACACATTTAATTGAAAGATCCAGAGAAGATATATTTAATAGAAAATAAATACCCCGTCCCCAAACTCCTAAACATCAGAATATACATAGAATAAGGTACAGAAACCATTTATTTTTAATCTGAATGGTGCCTGAAGGATAAGCTAGATAGATGCTTCAGAAATGTGATTAGAATAGAACAACAGCCAGAGAAAAAATGAAGAGTCCGCAGAACATACCTTATGAATAAGGCCTTCTGAAAGGACACTGCAAAAAAGGTCAATACAACTGTCTCCTATAAAAAAACAAAAAGCAACCCCCCCAAACAAACAAACAAACAAAAAAACCCCCCTGTGTTAAATCTTCAGGCAAGTCAAAGATAAACTGCTCGTTTGTTTCATTTGTCTTCTTTATATGCTATTATTGAACTGTTTCATAGATTTCATAGACATTAGGGCTGGAAGGGACCTCGGAAGATCATCGAGTTCAGCCCCCTGCCCAAGGGGCAGGAAGTCAGCTGGGGTCATAGGATCCCAGTAAGATAAGCATCCAATTTGCTCTTGGAGGTGTTCAATGCAGGTGCTTGAACCACCTCCGATGGCAGGCTGTTCCAGACCTTGGGGGCTCGGACAGTAAAGAAATTCTTCCTTATGTCCAGCCTGAAACGGTCTCTCAGTAGTTTATGACCGTTTGACCTTGTCATCCCTTGGGGCGCTCTGGTGAACAAACGTTCCCCCAGATACTGGTGGTCACCCCTGATAAACTTATAGGTGGCCATCAGATCACCCCTGAGCCTGTGCTTTTCCAGGCTAAAGAGCCCCATGGCTCTCAGCGTGTCGTTGTAAGGTCTGTTTTCCTGACCTCTGATCATGCATGTGGCTCTTCTCTGGATTCTCTCAAGCTTCTCCACATCCTTTTTGAATGTGGAGCCCAAAACTAGATGCAGTACTCCAGCTGCGGCCTCACCAAGGCTGAGTACAAGAGGAGAATGACGTCCCGGGATTTGCTTGAGAAGCATCTAGGGATGCAAGCCAATGTTTTGCTTGCTTTACTAGCCGCTGTTGTGTAATATATCTTGATTTGTATGTTTTATAATGAAAAAATAGTTCTTCTATAATTGAAGATAGATATTGTGGAGTCTCTTCACAGCCTTTTACTAGAACAAGTAAATAAAACTCCAGTATTCCCTCACAAGTAGTGTTGTTGAACCCACTGTATAGCTTAGTTTTAAGTATCAGGGCTTTATCTCTTAACAGAAAATGGAGTTCTTCATAGAATATTGACTAGTCTTTTAGAAGACTATACGCTTTCCAGAGCGGACGTTATTAACCCGACTCATGAATAAAGATGTGCTATATATCTGAAGAGAAATTCCTAATGTGATCATGTAATTCAGCGCCTAGCTTTCTCAAGGAGCATGTCAATTACTCTGTTACTTGTTTAGCCTTTTAAAGCACTTTTGCATTTGAGTAGATGTTTAATTTTGCATGTGTTAAGCAGAAAGGAAATGCTTACTTTTTAAAATATTGATATAGATAATACATGCAAAATTCCCATAATTCTTAAAACATGATTTGGAAGAATACTACCTTGTTTTGATGCTCAAACAAATAAAATAACTCAGTGTGATAATTTTACTGGTGGGATAGGTATTTAGTTAGCAGAAGCAAAAATATCATAGGGTTTTGATGATTGCAAAGTATTTTTACATTGGAGAAATGTATTTTTATACCGCAGCATGTTAGGAAATGTGAATTAGGGCTGCTTATAATTAAGGTAAATTTAAGTAATTAACACAAACTGGGCACGTCAACACGTGGCCCCCACAGCTCAGCTGTTACTGCACCATCATTTATTATTTGCTTTAGGAAGTAGTAAATGATGGCGCATGGTTATTTTTAGCAGCTATGTCGCTGTAGCCCATCCACACTTCATTGCTGTAGTGATGAGCTACATTGCTGTTGTGCATCACTCTGTTGACATAGTGTCTTGTGTAGACATGTCCACAAATATGTAAAGAACTATTTTAAACTCTTTGCTACTGTTCTTAGCAGTAGAGTTTAATATAACTATTTTGTTTTTCTTATTATTTCAGAAAAATATAAAGTTTTCCTGCCTGTGGCTCTTTGGACAGATTGTTCCCCCATTAATCTGACAAACTGTTTCCTCCTCTTCCTCGTGGTAAACAAATATGGGAAGAATACGTCTTCATTCTTGGCTCTTTGTACTTTGACATTAAAATTTAGCAATGCTTTTTTAAAAGTTCCTTAAAACTCAGTGGTCATTTTAGGTCTCGAAAAATGCGTAAACTTCTAAATAACATGGCAACTTATAACACAAAAATCAGTGCTCACGTTAGGTGAGTGTGCGCTTAAGTAGACGGGAAAACTAGTCTAAGTGTAAATGGAAGGATAACTGTGTACTGAGTTGTGCTGGTTGACTTGTATTTTTCTTTAAAGCCTCCTTCTAGCATTCATTCTAAAACTACAGCTGTAACATGGGAGAGAGGAAGAAAACCTTCATCCATTTCTTATTAAACATACAGATACATTACAGGACTTGACCTGTTCAGAATCTATTCAGTTGACTGTCTTACTGGTCTGATACAGAACAATAGTACTCCTCTGCAAGTTAGTGTAATGGAAATTTATTTCATCATCTTTCCCAGGCTTCAGTTATGACATGCCTTTTCTGATACAAGGCAGTGCATCTGTGGTTCCAAAACAAACAAAATAGCAGCATCTCTATAGGGAAAAGGATATGGAAAAGGATATGGTAATCCAGAGTCTTGTATTACATTCCTGCCTCTACCACTGTCACTTAACCTTCCAGTACTTGAAATTTCGTATATGTAAGATGATAATAATACTTATTCGCCACTGTAAAGTGCTTTTCAATCCAGAATAAAAGGGGCTATTTAAGCTTTCAAATGTTATTGTTAATATTACTTATTATAATTTATCCAAAAAAAAAAAAAAAAAAAAAACCTGTCAAACTCCAAATACTTACTTTTGAAAATTCCACATTGAATCAATTTATTATGAGCTAATGCTAATCTTTCCTTTTAAGTATGTGGGATGAAAATTACCCCCTTTAGGTGGCCTGTGCAGCATTTATGCAGTACTTTAATCCTGATTAAACATTCAGTATTTTTTGTTATTACTATAGTGCCTAAGGGCCAACTAAGAATGATGCCCTGTTGTGCTAGATACAACACAAGCAAAAACACACCCAATCACAAAGTGTTTACAGTCTAAATAGGCAAGACATGGTAAGAAAGAGGTGTAATGTAAAAGCAGAGGGAATTATGTGATAGCAATAGGCAGTATACTAATGCCCCCACCCCTTTTTTTAACTGATGGCTAGGAGAAGATAAATGAAGTGGAAAATAAAGAGAAGGGAAAGGGGGCTTTGTGGGGAAAGTGAATGGGGTGGAACAGGGCAGGGGAGAAAAACCATGTATGGAGTGAATCTGAGGTGGCTGTGAGGAAGTGTTGGAAAAGGGGAAGGGAGAGGAATGGAATAAGCAGGGCTGGAGCCAAACAAGGACAGAGAGAGTCTAGACATAATTCCAGAAAGCACCCTTAATGTCCAGAAACCTGTTTTGGCTTCTTCTCCAGTGGTTCTTCATACTGGTTGAAAACTCAAACTCATATATCCCTGTAATTTTTCAAGATACATGGTTTGTGTTAGGGGAGGTACCATCTGGGTCCTAATATTTGTGAACTGGTGGTGTGGTTTGCCTGTGAACACCTTTGGGGCCTGATGGTCAGAGGGTGCTCTAGGGTGGCTACAGTTTTATCTTCTTCAATGGTGCAGTGACTTCATTGCTTGCTAATGCAGCTCTTCCCTTAGGGAGTGCTAAGACCTTGTATGGCGTTGCTGCACAGGGGTGCATTTCACTCTTTTTTTTAAATGCAGATTTTAAGAGAATACAAACTGTTTTGTGCTTTTTGTTTTTAATAAACTTTTTACAAAATGAAATTAAATATGTTTTAAGCAAATGGCTGCATATTAATGTTTTATTCTGGAGACATTTTTTTCTTTGGGTTCAACTTTATATCTTTTTTCTTTCATCATTGATCTTTTTTTAATTAAAAAACTTCAGAGAGAAAAAGAGAACTGTATCAAATGATGATATTTCCCTCCACAGGATTTACGAACGTGTCATAGATCCTCCAGAAACAAATTTGACCCCAGGAAGCAGCTTATGGCTTGGACAGAGAAATAGGAAACATGGTTTCTTTAAGGTAAGCATATATATACAGTAGCAAATGGTAGATAACAGCATATCCTGCCTTATGACCTTGAATACTCCAAATCTCTGCTGGAATTTTAGTGGGAGTCTGGGTTTCTGAGAAATGCAAGAATGGATACAACTTCTAACAAAAGGGATATTGCACAGTATAGCCGTCAACATTCATCAGCCGTTAACATTGTTATTTCCCAGAGAGTGGAAAGAGCTCCTCCACCTCCTGCTGTATTTTATCCTGGATCACGAAGGGGTAAAGTCTGATGCTGGGGCATAGAATATGGGTGGGTAACAATGCATCTCTTAATACTGCTTGCTTCTAGAGTTTCCATTTTTCATTACTGAAGCTTGTTTTGACTTCTGTCAAATAGAAGATCCTTGCTGGTCTCCCTTTCCTCACACCTGCACAGCTATTTGTGATCATGCAGAATGCTTGTGCCTTGTTGAAAGGCCCGGTAGAGTTGAGACTCTACCTTAGAACGCTTCCTGTCTTTTAGTCCTGTTTCCACCTATGAAAGAAATTGCATCTGTTAGTCATTCACCGGGAAATATGTTGAACCATGAACTACATTTTGATATCCTGAAAGCTGAGGTTGCACAGAAGTGAGAAAATATTGAAACCTGCTGACTTCTTGTTTTCTCTTGGTAACCAACCAGGCATAAGTAGAGCTGCCTTTACACATGCTCAGGGGGTGGGGAGTGGGGGGCATTTTAATTGGAATGGTTCTGGGCAGCCACTTTAATTAAAATGCCTCACTGTCATGTGTATTAAACCCCTGTACATTTAAAAATGGCTGTAGGATGCTTTATCTAAACCTCACTCGACAAGGTTTAAAGTGCTCTGCGGCCATTTTAAAACATGTGGGGGCTTCATATGTGTGATGCTCTGGTGACGCTGCAGCGTTCTCATTAGATCATAGAGCAAACTGGATTAATTGAGTCTGCTCTGACATGTTCTAATGAGAACGCCCACGAGTACACGTGTAGGCAGCCTAGGTGTCCAGTAGCTTATTCTCACTGATGTAGCTGACAGGGAGCATGCCTGCTGGCTATAATGGCTTTCTTAGCCTTTTTCCATTTGTGGGATGCCCCAAGACATCATGATGAACCAGACCAGTTGAAAGATGATGGAGATGGGCAGAATTAATGTGCCACTGCAGATAAATACCTTAAAACCTGGGAACCTCCTTTCCAGTTTTTTATTTCTCCTTCTACTCCTCTTTATCCTCCGGTAAGCTTGGCTGGCTTTAAAGCCTAAGCTGAATTATTGTAAAATTTAAAAATTAATACTGTGCTTCACAGGCAAAGTTTTAGCAAAAGCTGCCCAACTGTCGCATCTAATTTCATGTCCAATAGATACAGCAATGAATCTGTTGCTGACTAATGAGCATGGAGTATAATCGGTTGTTGGGCAATGTACAGCAGTTTTTCTGATAAGTTCCTCAGCTCATGGCCCGCAGAGCAATCTATGGATTCATTCAGATTAAAGGAACACCCTTTAATGGATCCATAGATTAGTGATCTGTTTTTCCGCATCCCTGCTTGAGATGTTTTTCCGTTAGCAAAACAGTTGATTACCAGTTTAGCTGCACTTGGTATTGAAGCTTATTATACAGGTTACTGGTGTTTGAGGATCCCACTCACCTTTCAAAATCCAGATAAAGCATTAAATTCATAACTGCATATTGGTACATCTAAACAATGTCTCAGCTGTACCAGGTGAAATCATTTGGGGTTCTACTTCCATGACTGTAAAAAATAAATAAATAAATACATAAATTTACATAAGAGGCCATGAATTGCACTTTACTTGGACTTTATTTCTTGTTGCAACAGCTGAGCTGTCTCTGTGAAGTGAAATTGATAGTATTATTTTATTCTACAGCTGTTGTTTTTTACCTCAGCTGCTTCCCATAATTCCACAGATGGTAAACATATGTTTATAGCCACATAGAAAAACAGAAGTTCTATTGGATTCGCCCATCTTTAATTCTTATTTTGTGCAGACAGCCAGAGTCTAAGAACTCTGGGATATTATACGTTTGTAAATTAATATTTCTACGCATTAACACTTTGGAAACAGCAGGGAAGTTAATGATATGCTAATGAGCTGCCAGATTTTATTGATCATAATGAAAGTCGACAAGTGCCTTTCTTTGCTTTATGTAGGCTTGAATATTTTACTAACTGTCTGCAGGGCAGAAATACATAATTGGTTGCATTTTTTAATCCTGCTTGTTTCAGAAATCTTTTTTTTTTTTTTTTTGATACCCATTGCAAAAACTTGGGATTTTGCCAGTTTATAAACAGTACACATATCCGTCCGTATATTTACATGCTCAGCAGGACCTCTCTTCTCTTTTCAAAGCAATTTGTTTCAGTGTTTTAGCATATAAAAAATAGAACTATTTTCTTCAGTGTAAACAGAGATCTGCAGGGAAATAAGAGCGTTAAAAAAGAATGGGTATGTGTGGGAGAGCTGTGTTAGCATTTCTGTCTAAAAGCTATGGGTTTTGTTCTGCATTTTCAGTCTAATCATAATAATTCCTAACATGTTAGGATTATAGCGATGTAATTAACTAATTGTTTCCTGCTTTCTTCTTCTCTCCTCTTTTTAAATATGAGTAATAATAATAGCATAAATATGCATTTTGAGTTATATTTATCTGTTTACCTCTCACACACTGGACACATCCTGTTAGGATCAAGAAGAGATTATGAAGCTAAGTAATGGAAGACAGATTCTGACTTGTTTATTCCCTGATTAGTCCCATTGGGTCTGTGGGAATACTGGAGGACAGAGATATATGGCATAAGTAAGGGGATTAGAATTTGACCCTTTATATTTAGAGAGATAAAATATGAAATAAATATTTCACAGTATTAGTATACTATGCTGCCATTTGAGCACCCCTGCCCTATAATGTGCTGAGTAAATTAAACTCCCATTCAGATAACTGGGAATTGACAGCCTTCACTGCTTTGTATAAGTTACTTGCCCCTTGCATGATCAGACTTGAGGTGGACAGTGGAGTGTGCTGACAGCAAAGAGATCAAACGTAAGCAAGATATGGCTACCTTGAAAGGCTAAGAAAATTTCCTTAGCAAAATTGCATGAAATTTAGCGAACCCAAACAAAAATCACATAAATTATTCCTTTTGAAAGACTGAGCTAATGTTTGTCAACCCTTCAGGCTTCCTGGCTATTGAGGCTTGTTGGAGCAGGGATAGGAAAAAAAGTAAAGAAACTTTTAGGGAGCAGGAGGAAAGAGCCTTTTCAATAGTCCCAAACCTCCAAAACACCCTCCCAAAAGTTGATAACAAATTATCTTACCCTGCTCTCCTTAGTCTTCAGTAAGATATTTTCAAAAGAACCAAATAAAAAAATAACTCAACAGCATATTTTGCAAGAGAATACAATGACTAAACTCAAAAAAGAATAGAGATCATTTCCCTTATGCGTAGATCTCACTGCTTATAATAACCTTTATTAGTGTCTAGATGCCATGTGATAGGAGCTTTGAAAATATATATTGACAAGTATGTTCTATTAATTTATATAGCACCACAATACCTACCTGGAACACTACCTGGAATAATTTAGTATCATCTGCACACTTGGAAACTTCACTGTGCACCCCTATTTCTAGATCATTGATGAGAATGTTGAATAAACTTGGGCCCATTCTAGATCTCTCCAGGATCCTTATTAGACCTCCCTCCATTCTGAAAAATGACCTTTAACTCTACACTTTGTTTCCTATTTTTCACCAGTTCCTAGTCCTTGAAAGACCCTTCCCTCCTATCTGGTGGCAACTCACTTTTTTTTAATAAGCCTTTGTTGAGGGAGCTTGTCAAAAGCTTCTTGAAAGTCGAAATGTATTAGGTTAGCTGGACCCTCCTTGTCGACATACTTGTTAACTCCCTCAAAGAACTCCAGCAGATTTATGTCAGGACTTTCCTTTGTCTGGCAGGATTTCCATTTGCAAAAAGCAGGTTGACTTCCCCAGCAGCTTATATTTGTCTATGTGACTGCTTGATTTTATTCCTTGTTATAGATTGGTGGTACTCAACCTTTTTCCTAGGTGGGCTACATGGGTCTTGCCCCTTCCATTTACAAACCAAATGTGGATGGTGGCCCAAATCTGGCTCTTGGGTGGGCATGGCAGGGTCCCATCCAGCTTCATGGAGGGGGCAAGGGGCAATCCAGCCCAATCCAGCCCTGCAGGTGGAGGGGGCAGCCTTGATTTAGCCCTATGTGGGAAAGGGGGTATAGGCCCAGCCCTACTTCAGCTGGCAGAGGGGAGAGGGGCATGGCCAGCCCTGATTCAGCTGGGCAGGGGGAAAGGGGATGTGGCCTGGCCCTAACCTGGCTTGGATCTGGCTGTGCTGGGGGAGAAGGCATGGGAATTTGGCAGTGGAGGTGGGTGGCCCTGCTACCACTTGTGGGATGCCTGGCAGGCCAGATGCAATGGCTCTGTAGGTCACATCTGGCCCACAGGCTGAGCACCCCTGTTATAGAATCTATCTGCTTATCAGGGATGGAAGAGAGAATTACTGGTCTGTAGTTCCCAGGATCACCTCTGGGGTCCTTTTTGAAGATGGGTGTTACATTGGCAACCTGCCAGTCCTTTGGCACAGAGGCTATTTGTAATGGTAGGTTACATATTATTGCTAGCAGTTCTTCAGTTCCACCTTTGACTTTCTTCAGAACTCTTGGGTTAATGCCATCCAGTTTTGGTGACTTCTCAGTATTTCATTTTCCAGTTTTTTTCTAAAACTTCTTCTGTTGTCACTTAAATGTGGTCCAACTCTTCTGACCTGTCTAATAGGACGGGTTGATTCTGTATGGGAATTTCCCCAGGATCTTCTGTGGTAAAAAATAATACAAAGAATTCATTCAGGTACTCTGCTATGGCTTTATCATCCCTGATTGTACCTTTTACAACGTGGCCTCACCTAATTCTCTGGCTGGATTCTGATGTATTTTGTGGGACA